GAGCTCGTGGCGAAGCTCCAGAGGAGGCTCCGGGTGAAGCTCCAGGTGAAGCTCCAGGTGAAGCTCCAGGCGAAGCTCCAGGTGAAGCTCCAGGCGAAGCTCCAGGTGAAGCTCCAGGCGAAGCTCCAGGTGAAGCTCCAGGCGAAGCTCCAGATGAAGCTCCAGATGAAGCTCCAGATGAAGCTCCAGGCGAAGCTCCTGCCCCGGCTGTGCTGAAGGTGTGAGTCTGGGACACCGAGCCCGTGTGGACCATTTGCCTTCCCGCTGTCAGATGCTAACAGACTGCAGTAACACCTTCAGGGTGAAGCTGTGCGTGACGTGTGTCCTCTGCACCTTGGTTCACACAGTGTCACTTCATTCGAGCCATTTTGTTCCATTCAAAAATAAATCCACCGAGGGTTTGTTAAGTTTTAGTTGAATGTGGTCTTTTCCATTTGGTAAGTCTGGAAAATCTTTATTTGCCTTAAAAATCCGTATTTCTTTAAAATAAACAGCACACGTTGAATCTATACTTTGAAGCAGTGCACAACGGTTTAAAACCAGTGTTTACTGATGGGGGACCGAGACAGGACTGACTGGTTTAACAGGTTTGTCGTGTGTTTGTGTATATTTGTTAAGCCCGGACCCTCCACCTCTGGAGGACGTCTGTTTCGCTGCGCTCTGCGCAGGTGCCAGACTTGACACCTTGTGGAGCGCACATGTGTGAGCTCACACCTCTGCAGACTTTCCCACGGGCTCTGCTGAGGTGTGTCAGAGCCCCCACCGTCGCCCCCCGCCCGGGGCACGCGGCGCACGCCGTATGTTTTATCACTTCAACAAAAGCTCGTGCCACCTCCTTTCCGACCATTTGGGCACGTGTTGCAGGACAAAGGGTGGGTGATGGAGGGATGGATGGATAAAAACACAGATAGTGGAGCACGTGTATAATAATATCATTAGAGAAAATAAAAACCAGGACCGTAACCGGACACGCGCTGCCAGGTCCCGATCCTGTCCACGCTGGTGCAGTGAGCCGCTTCCAGAGGTTCAGAGGGCAGCAGGCGTGTGGAGAAGAAGGAACGTCAAGAATAAAACCTAACTGGTACCCAAGTCATGTCAAAAGCTGCTTCACTGTAATGAGTGAAGGTAAGAAAAGCCCTGATGTACAGACGCTCATGGGCTTTGTCACGTGATCGGTTGGTTAGAGGATCGTTTCTGTGTCCAGCTTCTCCGTTTGGGGCTGACAGGATCTACCTGAGCTGTGCTCTCATGGTCACAACTACTTGTCACTATTTTGTTTTAACAACGTCCAGATTCATCGACTTAAGTTGTTTGTGGTTTGTCAGGCGCCAAACCAAAAGCCTAAACCAGAACTTTGTGGGCCCACTTGGGCTTTTGTTTTTAAAATGAGTCACATCTGTCGTTACACGATCATCTACACCGTGAACTAACAACCCTCTGTGTGAACGCGCCGTTTGGCGCTGACGCACGTGTGACGGACCGAGGTGACAGGCTCCCCCGTAAAGATATCCATAGAGGGGCGCGCGGCGTGCGAGGCTTTTGTGGATTCCGCCGACCTGAGACGCAGGAGGAGGTGACGGATGAGCAGATGGCGCCGATCGAATATGTGCATATTGTGGACTGAAGGTGATGAAGCTTCGTGGCGTGTGCGCACGCATCTTCTGCGTCCTCCAGGGACGCTGCGCGTGAACTGATAACAGACTGATGGACAGGCAGGTGAAGCAGATTGTTAGTTTAAATCGGTGAGTTTTAATTGAGAATGAAACCAGAAAGGAAGGAGGAAACGTCCTCCGACCCTGCGTGTCCACATTTGGTCAGTAATGAAAATAATCTAAGTGCAGCTCTACAATCAGCGCTACACACTGGTCTGATCAGGCTTCAACCCACAACAAAGTTTAACTGGTTTTTTTTGTTTTGTTCATGTCGTTACCATTTTTTTGTCAATCAATTAAACACAGAGTGGCAACAATTTATTTCCTACTACTTAAAACTATGTGGCCAGTTGACGAATTGATTAGTTGGCAGAAAATGAACCTCAGCTATTTAGAATCAACAGTCACCGACATGTTCTGGTTCCACCTTCTTTAATGTGAGGAGCTGATGCTTTTCTTTGTCAGACATGAGAATCAGCTGAGTCTCTGTGGGTCTGTTGGTTGGACACAACGAGACGTGTGGAGACGTCATCTTTGGCTCTGGAGTCACAGTGGGACTTTTCCCCCAGTGTCTGACATTCTGGGGACAAACTGATCAATAACATGTTATAACAAAACCTTGTGCAGCGGTTCTGGTGTCAGGTCTCACTGTCACGTCCATGAGACAGAGACACGGCGCTTCCTGTTGTTTGGTGTCAATCCATAACATTCATTCATTGTTTGAGGAGCTCTTTAGTCTCAGCGTGCGCTCTATTTTAATTCATATGCTTTTGTCTCGAGCGCACACACGTGGATCTACGGTAACAATAGGAGGCTTGTTTTGTGTGTGTGTGTGTGTGTGTGTGTGTGTTGGACCAGATGCAGCGTGCCCCGGCCTCGTGCCGCGGGTTTGTACTTGAGGGGGTTAACCCGGGGCCAGCGGAGGCACGCGCTGGCCTCATTACATTAACAATAGAGGGAGATGTTGGTCGCGAGCGCAAAAAGAAAGAAACACCTGGGTCACCTGGTCCCTTACATAGTGATACACTACGTCACGTGGCTCATTGTAAAGGTGCACCTGGTGAAATTTACTGGTGCAATGGCCAAAAGCAGGAGGGGACAGGACGTGACGGGACCGAACAGGGCCCGCAGGCTAACAGCAGCTGTCCACCGCTGGAAACTGCAGGTCAATGGACATGTCCCTGCAGACAGACAGCAGAGCACAAACAGTAGCATATTCACTGATCAGAGCTCGGTCCCACCTCCTCTCTCCTCGTCCTAATGGGAGTGGTCTCCTCCAGGATGACAGAGCCCCCCCATCCACAGGGCACCAGGGGTCCCTGACTGGTCTGATGAGGGTGACCATGATGTGAACCAGATGCTGTGGCCTTCCCAGTCACCAGGTCTCAGCCCAGTTGAACAGCTATGGGAGATGTTGGAGTGACGTGTCACCACCATCATCAAAACACCACATGAGGGAACATCTGTTGGAAGGTGTTCATTCCTCCAGGAGAGTTCAGAGACCTGGAGAGTCAAGGTGGAGGTGTTCAGGTGTCACATGGTGGCCCAGCACCTCACTGGGACTCTGTGCTGGGTCGACCTCTCATCTGTCACCACCTGTACACCTCACTATGTGGTCTCTCCTCGTCGGTAAGAAACTAAATCTCAGACGCTGTGGTTTCGTTTCCGTTCCACATGTCATGGCTCCACCTGGACCAACAAGAACCTGGTGTGACACCTCATAGTAACCACAGTTACTAAGACCATGTCAAAACGATGCCTTATAAGTACCATTTATGACGTCACCATATGATGCAATGGATTACTGTTATATTGTCACCGATTCGCTTTGATAACTTAAGTCAGTGAATCTTATTTAATCAGACGATTGTTGTTCCAGAGTAAACAAGTGGAGAAGCAGCAGTGAACTACTGCTGTGCACGACCTTGGTTGATGTGCCTTGGAATGAAAATGAGCTTCATGTTAATTACACCGGGGGGGGGTTCATTACCATACAGCTGCATGACACCTCAACATACACACACGCGCGCGCACCTTAGAACACGTTAAGATGCTAGCAGATTTCTGCAGATGGAAATCCTCCTCTCGGCCTGCATGCGTGTCCGTGCATGGTCGTCTGTGTAAGAGCGTGCATGTAGCAGCCTTCCTCTACCAGTAAGCGACTGGAGGACGGAAACAGTCAGGAGGAAAGAACGTGTTTGTCCACTGGTTTGTTGGTGTTTGTGCCGTTTGGGATGATCTCCCGCCACTGGAGAGCCCACCTGGAGATCCCACCTGGAGACCCCCCCT